TCGGATATATAATATTGGACAAACGTCTAACTTAAAATCCCCATACCAGACTGAAACGACAAGGAACGGTTCAACACTTTCGACCACTTCAGCACTTACGAGACAAACGCTATTAGTTGCAAAATACTCATATACATGACTATGGAACTCCATTAAACCACCAATGTCGTCCCGTATCCAATCCTTACAATCCAAAGTGCTTTGTAAAACCTAAATCCTCCTTAATTTGTTACAAATTAAATTATCCATAAGGACCTGACACGTTTCCGATTTGTTCCAAACCATCCTTCCATTCATAGGCGCAGACTTTCAATTTTTATTGGGGGCGATGGACCAAAACAAAAAGAAAAAGAAATAATGAATAATTATTCTGAAACGAACCAATATAATATTGAATGTTTAAAAATAATTTGTTTGTATAAACATATAAATTGTAAGACTTTTAATTTATTATTTTTTGTTTTATTTATTATATATGCTTGAAAATATCTTAAATAAAAAAAAATACACTTGAATATATAACGTATTTATTTGGATTTAACACATGGAGGAGGGGAGACAGCCTTCATAGCACTGGTACATTTCTAGAACTTTTTCATCTAAAAATAAATAACGTAAAAAAATTTTTTTGAATTAAAAAAAAAAACAACTCCGAATACAGGAACTGGGAAATTTTGTCCACCCTAAAGAAATGTTCTTTCATATTCGCTTAAACATCTTTGTAGATTGATTGTAAAATTTATATCTACGAATATTTTAATTTGGTGTAATAATCGGTTGCATTTCAATACACATTACGGCTTCAGACAAGTAGATTTCATCTCATCTATCGGTGCAAGTAAATATCCGAAAGTCTTGAGTTTCGTTCGTGGGAGGCAGGCACCCGACTACTACATCAGGGTTAAGTATTGTTAGATGTCAATTTTAGTATCAATCTGTCAGGATGTTTAAGGGAATATGAAAGACGACTCCTTTAGGTTGGATAAAAATTCCCAACATCTGTAGTAGATTTTTTTTTTATTCAAAATTTGTTTACTTTAAGATGTTTATAATTTAAATATCTACAACTTATTTTCATAATATATCGTCAGCACCATATATATATCGTCAAATAACAAATATTATATTCTGTCCAACGTTGCACATTCGTTAACATGGCGGCGAAATGATCACATGATATCACTTCAAATCAATTAATAATCAAAATACTTAAAATATAATAAATTTTTAAAAAAATATTTTGTGCTAAAATTGTTTGAAAACATTCACGGGATCACTCGGAGTAATTTCTCTCAGAGTCACTTTCACCAAAAAATTTGAGTCACTTCAAACAAAAATTAATTCAGTCGCTCGCTTAAAAAATCGTTACATAGATTTTAATGGACGACCTAAACACATAACATCTTTGATTTCTTAGTGTGCACAACCTCAAATGAAAACACTACGTTTTTCAAAGTCCGACTAGTTTGCCGCGGAAAATGTGATAAGAATGTCACCTGAAAATTGAGATGTGGTTGAATCATTAAATCCTAATAAATAAATAAATAAATATATATATATATATATATATATATATATATATATATATATATATATATATATTATTATTATCTTTAAATATAATTGAAAGCTTAAATAAAAGTAACATTTAGGTATTAATAAAATAGTTACATACCTACTACTAGGGTCTAGCCTAGCCAGCCTAGTCGATTTTTATAAATCGGTTTTAGTTTATAAATTTTATTCATTCATGAAACTTATTTATTATTGATTTTATTATTTTTTCAGCTCAAATTATTAGACGGGACTATAGCCCCCCTCGCCCTCCCGTTATAAGTGTCTATGCTTCCATTCCATGCTATAAGCTTCAGAACCATCCAAATACTCTCGTAAGCAATGGTATTAATCTTGCTTCCTCCCAAATTTTTTATATCTGTCCAAGGTGCCTGAAAAGAAGATGGCTTAGTGGTCTCCTAATTTGGAAATTTGATTGTAGTGCTACCAATAGGTAGTTTATCTACAAGTCTTTCCATCCCATTGCGTTTATCTGTATCATATTTCCTTGATGGATTGTTGTTTTTAAAATTATCGATCTATGTGCATGGGGGACAGTGTTTTAAACATAAACTTGTTGAAGAAACATCTGTGGAAACACTATCCGGCAGTTCACGATAAATAGATCATTATTTGTTAATACATCATGAGTGTAGCTCAAATCATATTAAGTTTTTAAAAGTTGTAGACATACTTTGTTTCAGTTCTTGGCTGTAGCCCACTCCCTTCCTACTTCTCCCTCTTCCAACCACTTCTTTTCACTAGCAGATCCAGGATTTAATTTTGGGGGGAGCTTCAGCCCGAAAGATTTTTTTTTTCATATACATATAACAATAATTAATTAGAAAAAAAAATAAATTAACTACCTGTGACGAAATGATGATAAGTGGTTCTTGAAGTCCTATTAAATGTAATTACAGGTACAAGAATAATTTAAGAGATAGTTTTAATATTTTTTTCTGTGAAACATGGTAATATTTTACCATTTTGGGGGGAGGGGAGAGGCTTCAGCATGAAAGCCTCCCTCGTAGATCCGCCTGTGCTTCTTTTACATTATATTAATATTGTAGTAATGATTTCTTATCTTTTGTATGACTTATCTTATTAGCAAACATGATATGGATGAATGAGAAAATCGATATACTAAGCTGCTACCGCATTGTTGGATGAGATAACGTCGTTCAGAATTAATTCAGACATCAAGCTGTAGCGATCTTGATCCGTTTTTTTTTTTTTTAAGTTTCTCTGCCACTACCTACTTCATAATTTCTTGATACTCGAAGTTGTGAAGTTGGAGGTAACGCCAATAACAGTAGCAGTAATCTCTTCCATTTTTAATTTAAAACTTCAGGTTTCAAACTATGATTGCAAGTTTAAAGTTTAAGAGTATAAAATGTATAGATTACATGTATTCAGACATAAGCGGCTGAATCCAACAAAACTTTTCAGCCATTATTTTATTTCCTGCTATGTTTAAAAGAGCTTCAATCATCATCTTAAATGCCAAAAATTGGTATTGCAGAATTGCACTTCTTGAATTTTATTTAAAGAAGTTGCTCTTTGTTTTTTATCTAAGATTTTTATCGGTCAATTACAAGTTGATAATTGTTCAGATTGCTTTAGAAAAGAGTAGACATACAAAATCCTTTTCCTAAAAAATGTTAGCTCTTTGTATTGGAGTAAATCTTTTAAATAACTTTCTATCCCTTGGTATTTATAATCTCTCCAAGAGATTTAGCATCATATCATTAATAAAACTATTTTTTGAAATAACCCAACCGTCAAGCAATATACGAATCATACTAAAATGCGGTTACATCCCCGTCTGCAAGTAATCAAATACTTTTTATATAGAAGCAACTCCAAGTTCATCTAATCGTCTTCTTTTATGTTCATGGTTAGAACAGAAGTATAGTCAATCTTTGATAATCACTATAAAAGTTTAAATTATTTTAAGGCAAAATGGGAATTTCTCAGATAAAATAAGTGTTCAGCTTGATGTTATAAGTTGACATTTTGCACGCAAGCTATCTATTTGGAAAGATTTGTTTAGGCTTTCAATTTATTACACCTGAATGTTTGAACTTAACTGTTTACTGTTATATTGCTTGAATATTTTTACTTTAGCAATGTTTAACTAATATCCTTATAGTCTCTTTTTTTTTTTTTAATATTTGATTTGTTTGATTATCAGCCGTATCAGTTTTTTATATTACGTAATCCAATCACTGCTGCCAAAAGAGACAATTATTAAGGGGACCCTACACGGTCAATCGGAATTGCACTAATGACGTTCCGAATTGTTGTGTAAGGTAGTGAACGAAGTACTGATGGTGGTGCGCTGCGGATTTCCGAACATCCGGAAATCAAAGGTTCATTCACGAGAAGTGGAGGGGGGACTGAGGTAAAAGTAGTGGGGAGACTAACCATACTGCTGGATAGGTTAGGTTACCTAGGCCTCACAACCATTATAAATTTCTGATTTTCATTATATGTAAATAGTTAAATAATTTTTCATATCCCTTGTTTATAATTTTAAACCATCTTTAACTATTTCTTTTAAATAGTCAAGTGGGCAACAAATTAAAAAATAAAATAAAATGAGGAAACTTCACAATTTACTTGAAAGGAAAAAAAAACTTTAACGTTGTGTATATTTATCAGTTCTTTTCCCATTTTCCTCAACTAATTTATTATTTTCGCAATACCTTTCCTCAATTTTTCCAAGTAGTAGACGTATATTTTACTAACTTTTGTCAAAACGATTTTCTATGAGACTAACCTAACTACTAGATAGGTTAGTTTACCTAGGTCTCGTTATTAAGTAAATAATTTCATAAAAGTAAATAGTTGTTTATATCCCTAGTCTATATTATTATTAACCATTTTCAACTATTTTTTCTTTAAATAGTCAAGTAGATAATAAATTGGAGAGAAAAAAAAAGTGAAAACTTCACAATTTACTTATAGAAAAAAAATCTTTAACTGTTGTGTTTATTTGCCATTAATTTTTCCATTTTTCTTAACAAATTGATTATTTTCGCAATACTTTTCATAGATTTTTGTATGTAGTTGACTTATATTTTGGACTAACTTTGGTCTAAACGATTTTCAGGCACTAGGAAGTAATTATTATATCTCCGTTTTTCTCTTGATGCCCAATATTATAAATGACAATATCCAAATAAGCATATCTATGCTGTTTCTTTGTTTACAACTGCGCTAAATTGGTCAGCAACGATCTAACCTAAATCAACAACGATAAGTAATGATCAGCAATGATTGAACGTGTAAGGGTCTTCATGATCAAAGCAATAGCGGGCAATCTTGGAACTTCTTGTGACGTTCATTCATGAATTACCGTGTAGGGTCTGCTTTACTAACTTGTATTTAATGTTTTTATAATTTATTGAGAAACATAACGTTGCTAATAGCAACTTGAGTGACTAACCTCAAGTGTGAAGAGTAAAATGAATTTACCACATTACATAGAAAGGTTATCAAGGCAAGACAAGTTGATGGAACATGAAGTGAAATTAGTTTGTGATAAAATCATAGATATCTATAGCAATGAGAAGAATATCATTCAACTCACTACTCCTCTGACGGTCGCTGGTGACATCCATGGCCAACTTCCGGACCTTCTGGAGCTTTTCAGCGTGGCGGGAGAAATGCCTTGGACAACCTTCCTTTTCCTGGGAGATTACGTCGATCGTGGATACCACAGTGTCGAGACTTATCTTCTTCTTCTCTGTCTCAAGGTAAGCTATCCGCAAAGGATCACTCTTCTCAGAGGAAACCACGAATCCGAGGAGATAACTCAGGTCTACGGATTCTACGACGAATGCCTTCACAAGTATGGCAACATCCTTGTCTGGAAGTACTGTCTTAATACATTTAACATTCTCCCAATTGGGGCAGTCATTGACAACAGGCTGATGTGCGTTCATGGCGGCCTTTCTCCGGATCTCATAAAAGTGGATGAGATTTATAAGATTGAACGGAATATGGATGTACCTCATGATGGGATATTTTGCGATATTCTTTGGTCAGACCCGGACGATCAGAGGAAAGGCTGGAATGTGTCCCCAAGAGGAGCAGGTTACCTTTACGGACCAGATGTGGTGGACAAGTTCCGGCACGACAACAACTTGGACTACATTATTCGGGCCCACCAACTAGTGTTGGAAGGATATAAGTGGCACTTCAAGAACACCGTACTGACGGTTTGGTCCGCTCCCAACTATTGTTACCGCTGCGGCAACGTCGCCTCAGTTCTCGAACTCTCGGAGAACCGCAGCACCAATTTCATCGTCTTCGACGCGGCACCGACCGCCTTCAGAACCACCATTCACAATCCTAACCCTCCAGAATACTTTATATGAGGTTAATCATCTATTTTTGTTATTGTTTTACAAATATATATTTATGATTTAGTTTGACTTATATACAGTCCTTTAAAAATATCATTTTTTTTCTGTTGGCATTACAGATTATGTAGATCTTTTGGTGCCTCATCAAGCCTGCTTCGTCTCTGCCTGTCTTGGGCTCTATCTCTTCATTTATCTGCACGCAGCTCTGTTGCATCTTTGTTGATTCTACCTGTCCATCTGCTTTTTGGCCTTCCACGTGGTCTTACTTTTTATTGAGGCATTCATTGTACGTGGAGGCTTCCAGATGGGTTGTTACGAGCTACATGCCCCTCCCATTTTAACCTTCGTGTCTTCATCTCATAGGATATTGATTGACTAGTTTCTGTAAGCAGTTCTTTGTTATTCTTTCTTCTCCATGTGTTAGTACTTTGATTGCAGATGCTCCGGTTATCGTGCGGAGGATTTTTCTTTCAACACTTTGATATTATTTTAAAAAAATAAATATTTTATCTTTTTAATATTATGCAGGACTCCAGAAAAAAAAAAAAAAAATTGTAGACGCACCCTTTTATGTTTCAAACCTCACGTTACACACTGACCTTATCATTCCTTTCATCACGGCAACTGCCACTGATCGCTTTAACAATTTTCATGACAGACTGACTCTAAATTCCAATCCACTTACTCAAGCTCTATCTACTGCCACAAATACATATAATCCGCCCAGAAGACTGCAGAGGCGCTGGCCAAGAGATTTATTGAATTGAGCTACTTGCTGCATTATCTTATTTTTTGTGTTATTATGTGTTTTTTACTACAGTTATTTTTTTTTATTACTATTCTTTTTTTCTTTATGCTATCATTTCTTCTCCTTGACATCATATTTGCTGAATACCGAGGTAGATGGCAAATTTATTGTGAGCCAGGAATATGTATAGCTAATAAATATAATAATAATAATGATCTTCGTCATGATTTTAATTTTTATCTTTAATATAATAACTGTACGAAATGGTATAAAGACGTTCGACAAAACAATTGATTGAGGAACTTGAAAAATTCACCCATTTTAAATTGTTAAATTTTACCTATTCAGTTAAATGACTAAAATACTAAATATCTGGTGTGTCTACTCACACAATTTTCCTACCAAATTCAAACCACTTTAAATATATTAATTAAACCAAAATTTCAATTATCATTGTTTTCTTGAGAAAAGTGTAGCATAACCTAGGAGATAAAGCATCAAAAAATATGAAGTGTCACAGACTTTGTATATAAAGGAATAACGCTTTCAAATATTTCCGAATCCCAAATATGGTCTACTAACTTGTTGGAAAATAATTATACTTAAAATTAATCTTAAAATATTGAAAATTAGGACAAAAAAGAGCTTTGTAAACTACACACTGGTCATATCCTTTTACTTGGCCAGAGATATTCAGTAATAAGTCAAATATATTTATTTGAAAATATACTCCACAAACGATGTATATATTGCTATGTTCCTGGCCTCGCGTTTCTACGGCGAGTAAGGGGTTCCAGGAATCGCATTTATTCGTATTAAAATGTATTTATATCGGTCCCAGAAGGGAACCGATCAACTTAAAATATATTAATGATGTATTTAAATGTTAGATACCACAGACCCCCTACTGTAGTATCCTAGATTGAACCATATACTCTTTATTGGATTTCCTTTCTAAAGGTATCATGTTTATAAATTTACTATTTGTTTCTATTACTAATTGGTGGCATGCAAGGTAGATGGTAAAAGTACTACGTTGGTTTGCTAACTAATATATTTACAAATTTAAATAAAACCAAAAACATCTATATACAAAATAATAACTAAACCTATATACATAATGAATATTTGAGAATCATACTAGAGGAGAATGCTTGTTGTTTGGTTAAAGTTACAGGTGTTATATTTATTATATTAATTAATGATTGATGGTTGCCAACACAAATTTACATTAGTATAACTAAATGCTTGTTACCACTTAGCTGGTCCTTCATAGTGTTTCTAGGTGTTTCTAGCTGTCATATCTATATTCCCTGTCTCTGCTCTCCTTCAGCGTCTAGTCCGTCCATCTGCTCTCTCCGGCTGTCTTCGTCTTCCTCCCTCGACTCCCCCGCTTGAAGTCCCCAGAAGAAGTCCTCTCAGCTCCAAGTTCCCAGAAGAAGTGTCCAGTCCAAGTTCTATATTTTCCACCTTTTTTCATCCCCCTCTCTTTTGGTCGTCTTTCTCCTGATTGGCTGAATATTCTCAGCCTAAGGGATGAGCACGCCCTCTCCCCCAGGCCAAGGTAAAGCAGCAGGTACAGATTTCCATATTTCTGGTGGAAGGTGTGAAAAGGTCTTTCGGGATCCTTTTTAAACACTTAGTTGTCGGTCTTTGTCGGTGGTTATTAAAGGTTTTTATTACCACTTACAAAAGGTTGGGCTAATGGGTTACCCTCAGTCAGGTACCGCCAGATGTGGCCACTTATTTTTATTTATACATTTAAAATAATTATTCCACCGGCGGTCTTTACAATACATAGCAATATGTATATTGATATTCAGTATTTCTGCCAATATATCTATTTGTATCGATCTAAATGTCTAATATGAACATAATGTATTGTATCAAATTCATTTTTTTTTATGATTGGGTTTATATATATTCAACACAATAAGTCCTGGTTATTTCTGTAAGATTCCAAAGTCTTAAATCTCTCGAACAGCAGTAAATGTCAAATTTTCGCCAATTCAGACATCATTCAAAAAGATGGAAAAGTAGTCCCCATTCACCATTTTATTCGTAAATTAAAGACACTTAGAGATTGTTTATAAATTTCATTCAGGTTCATCAAACTCTGATAGTCTGAATGAAAATCTGACATGAAAACAAACATAACGTATACTGCTAGTAAAAATTTGGGTGCTAAGCCAAATTCTAATGGTGTTTAAAAAATGTGTCAACGCTCATATTGGTTCTAAAATTTTAATTTTATTTTAAACTTTCTACCATGGACACAAAGGGCGGCCATTAACAGTTTTTATTTTAGGGAAGTCATTAAGGATTGAATTGAATAAAGAGAGCTTAAAGATCTTCAATGCATTTTGAAGATTTGAAAAAAATTGTATTCATAAAGTGTAAACATACTCATCAAAGAGAAATCTCGCATGCATGTTGAATACCGGCCAAACCGGACTAAATTAAAGAACAACTGAGGCCTTGCAAATTCCAAGTGCTGAAGTGAAAGTGTACGAACCGGAGTAGCTTTCGACTGACAACGGGAATCGAAACCGTGTTCATTTGACCTTCCGTTTCTCGTTTCTCGAACTGTAATTGCATCGGCTTGCGGCGGATCGTGTCGCTATTGCGCTTTGCGATCACGACACAGAGGCCGTAATATCGAATAACAGTGCCTCGAAATGGAGTACCATGTGGAAAGTAGTGCAAGACGTCCAGTGCTAGAGCGTACTTATCTGGCCGTCCTAAGAATTGCCGGTAGTTGTGGCCGCATATAATAACTGGTAATGTTTTATGTGATGCTTGAAAGCAACGGTTTCATAGAAATGTCATAATTCCCATTAGACAAGAATTAGGGATAGTCGATTTCTATTTTATTGAGAGATCTGATTATTGCGATCTGTATGCTCTTAGAATAATTAAGGATAGTATTTGTTTGTTTGTTAACAATAAATATGTACAGTGCTAATAAGTTATGAAAGTCATTGTATTGGGCAATGATTAAAGAGTTTTGATTTGATACAAGTCGTTCCTAGCTACAACAGATTCATGATTATCTTTAGATGACAGAAAGATGTGTGAGCAAGCTGGACGCTTCCACACCTTCCTTTTGGCGGATAGCGATTGTCACATCGCAACTTAAAAATCTTACTTCTGGATAGATAGACAGCAGAATAGATCTAGGCTACTCCTCCTTACTTCGGTGCTTCCAACACAAGACTTACTACGTCTGTACCCGGCGTACTGCGAGCAGTCCCAGTCAGCAACTACTCTGTATTACTATTCTAAATTCCTTTGTGCTCTATAAAATATAATATAAGAAAATTTCTTCGTAAAAATAAATTCAAATAAATTTTCGTGTTCTTTGAGCATGCTAACTGGTGGATTAAATTTGATAAGTCCGCATTAATACCATAAAGATATTCAAGAAAAGTAGCCCACCGTTAACATGATTACTGAAAATGGGGGTCAGGGCGGGAGGTTAATGCCAAGTTAAAAGATCCTATGGCACGGGGACGCGAGCTTGCAATTATTTTATCGATGTTTTTTTTTTTTGTAACTTTTCGGTTATCAGGCTGCCGGGCAACGCGCTGTGCTGCGCACACACGCCTTAACCCGCTTGGTCACCCCGCACCTAATGATTACTGAAAATATGGTTTTAAAGATGAGATATACTGTTCGACTTCAAACAAAGCTTATAAATACATGCATATTCAGCCTTCCCAATCGAGTACCTGACCGTTCAATGATTTTTGAAGCTGATGGTCGAACGTGGTGTAAAAGAGTGTACTGGACTCTTTGGCCCTTATCCCAGTTTAAATGTGAAAATGGTATCAATATTGTTTAGCTAATCGTAATTGTCTTAGATGTGTCATCAATATTTTTACAATCTCTGTAAAAAGTAGCATATAAAGAATAAATAAAGTAAAAATAATTCAATATTTATTATTATCGTTTCTAAGATATTAATTTTATTTCCTTATTTAATTTTATTTCATGACTAATGAGAAGATTTACCGCGACTACCATCATTTGTTTTGAACAAGGATATCTCCTGCGCAATGTGACCATGTGACCTTCCAACTGATTGAGCATTTGCTTATGAATACTTGAGATCTTCCTGCAGTTATTTCTGACAATATGCCTGTTGAATTTTCAATATATCCAATTCCTACTGTTAAGAATTACTTTTTCAACCGCTTCGTATTCTCAGAAGGTTCCATTTGACAAAGAGAGAAAAATAGATTTATTTACAATTGAGCCGAAATTCGGTTCCATTCATTACGGTTACAGAATATTTTTACAATTTCATATAGTG